TTAAACATTAAAGCATGTTATTATCATCCATATAACCATTGTAATTTCAGGAACTCTGCAGATGGTGAGAACCTGTGAAATAGAATGATAGCATCATTTTATACTGCAAATCTGGTCTTTCTTTCTCTATCGAAGTATTACCAATGTAATAGGAATATTAAATGCAGTACTGTACTATATGCTGAAAATTCCATATTTGTACACGTACTGTTTGGGATAAAGCGATTATTATTATTAAAATTTTGTGCAATAATATTATTTAAAGTACAATTTAGTAAAATGTATGGGATATGCGCAAATAAGTGACTAAATAATATGCAAGTAATTATCTTTATAAATTAATATGAAGATAATACATATCAACTGACTGTCAATGGAAAATTCAGCGATGCCTTTATAGTGAAGACAGAAGTATGATTAGACCGCCGATTATCACCAACGACACCTCTGACTGTGGTGAACTGGATCATAAAGGAGACCATGTGTGCGAGGAAGAAGATAGGAATATGTTGGATCAATAAGAAGACTTGACAGACCATTTGTGTCTAATGACACATAAACTCAAATACTTACAGGCGAAAAGCAACAGTTTGGTAGAAGAGGCTTCCAGAAAAGACGAGAATGCAAGTGAAGATTGAGAGGACAGAGCGAAGGACTATACCATACAAAGACTAACGACAAGAACAGCAAACACCAATCGTTACCAACTGAAGAAATTTGAAAGAAGTCACTTGTTTCGTTCATCTAGGCAACAGTGTTACAGTTATGGGCGACAACATGGATGAGGGTACCTAAACCAGCGAGCATCGGGAAGGCATGGCTCATCTTCATTACTGTGAAATCAGTTCATAAATCTAATTCACTCAACATAAAGAACAAAATTCGAATTTTTACCGCCAACGTTAAGTCAGTCACGCCTTCTAAATGGGTCAGAAACTTGGTGAGTTCGTCACCGAAAGCATTTCTAACAAGTCACTGTAGACTCCTGTCAACAAGTGTCATCATCGATGGCTCCATACTGAATATCAGATGACCAGCCGGAAAGAATTAGCATCAAGGAACTCTGGGGATGAACTAATCAAGAGCCTGCTGTTCAACAAATATACCAGGGGAAATGGATATGAACTGGACACATTCTGAGAAGACCGGATGACACTGCACACCAGACCATCGGTCGAGTGGAACCTGGATAAGAAATGATGAGTTGTGCGTGTGTCTGAGAGTGACATGGAAGAGATCCTGTGAGCATGAGATGGAAGCCTATAGGCAATCTTGGGGCCAACTAAAGAGGTCCGAAGAGAACAAGAAAATTGAAGATCTTCCACTGGAGCCCAAGGGAACAGTAATAATAATTATTATTTATTTACAGCACACTTTGATGCCCTCATATGTAACTAGATGGGTATTATTATGGCTGAATGACTTGCTGATTTATCAGCGTAGATCTTGAAATAAAAGTGTATCAGTCCAGTCTGTCCCACATCCTAAAAGTACACATGAAATTGAGCTATGGAAATATTTTTCAAACTAAAAGGGTCGAACGTGTACAGAAAGAATAATTAAATGAAAATTACAGTGTAAAACTCCAGTCTGATTCATTGAGCCGGTAAACAGAACCCAGAGTACTAAGACAGACAAAACCAACATATAATTATACCATGAAAATCGAAAGGTTTATGGGCACACATACACATACAAGGCAAAAACTGTGTAGAACAAACGTTACATCAAAACAAGTTAACGGCAAAAGTATTACATCAAACTCTGCATGAATTCTTTGTCATCAAACAGTCTATCTATAAGTCGTTTATGAACACTATGTCGATTTGTAATCAACCATAGTGGTACTTACTATCATTATTCCCTTGGGTTCCAATTGGACGCATGGCTTCAATAGAACACCTCCTGCCTGTCCTTTTCTTTTGCAGTCCTCTCCAAATGACGCCACTACTGCTTATAAATTTCTACTTCCTGTTCATACAGTCTCCTCCATGTTACCCTTGGACACATGCACAACTCGACGTTTCTCGTTCGAGTTCAACTCAAGGGCCTGGTGCGCAATATCATTTGACAGTCTCCTCAGCGTGTGGCCGATCCATCTCCATTTTCGCCAACATATTTGTTGAGCAATAGGCTCTTGACTAATTTGTTCCCAGAGTTTTTTGTTGCTAGATTTTTCTGGCCATTTGATCTTCAATCTGGAGTCAGAGAATAGTGTGGCAGCTGTTAATAAGTGTCTGGATTGATCTGTTAGAAAGGCTTTTGGTGACGTGTTCTTCATGTTCCTGACCCATATAGAAGAAGTGAATGACATAAAATTGATGTTGAAATTTGTTAATTTCTCTTCTTGTCGTATGAACACACCTTTCCAATCGTTAGCTGTACCGCATGTCGACAAACTAGATTTATAAATATCTGTCAGTTTTTCTTTGCGCGGGGGGGCAGGGGGGATTAATCGCGCCTTCAGTGGTTATATAAAAGAAACAGTCATGTCTCTCTATGATCAAAGGATTTAACCAGTTTTCTTAATAATAGCAGTAACAGTAATCACTTCATTCCAAACAATTATAATAATTACACAGAATGGAACTTTCAGAGTTTTTATACATACTGCAACAATTTAACTCCTTTTATAAATTAGTACACACATGAAATTTAAAAATAATAATAATAAAACCAAAAAAACTGAATGTTGGGGTAAAAATAATCAAGTATAAGTAGATAATGTCATACTTTGATTGGACACTAGTAACTAGTATGATGACTTTAGTGCAAGCTGGATTCTATCGTCAGTCAAGTTTTGCGATGTGACCACTATGCTAGCTGACTCTCCATTACGGTGCACTCTGAACTGGTGTTATTAGTTGGTTGGAGGCAATCGGCCACAGGAAGACTCGCTTGACCTGGGTTTCGTGCTAGTTGGCACTGAGCAGTCAGCAAGGAGTATCTGCAGTCACCTTGAAGGAACTCATGTCCCTTCTGAGATTCGAATCCGCATCACCTAGTGAGAGCTGCAGTCAGAAACAAGCCCAAATAGCTTAGTGGTAACGCTTGTGACTGCAGCTCTCACTAGGTGACGCGGATTCGAATCTCACAAGGGACATGAGTTCCTTAAAGGTGACTGCAGATACTCCTTGCTGACTGCTCAGTGCCAACTAGCACGAAACCCAGGTCAAGCGAGTCTTCCTGTGGCCGATTGCCTCCAAGCATCTAATATCATCAGATAATATCATAGATAATACAACAATAATAATAATCTTTGCTTATTCTCACTTTGCAGCTCATACTACTGACATCTGACCCTATCTGCACACAAAACTCGTGATAAATATGGAATGGTTGAGTTTCTTATATTTTTCTGTATGAGTGTGAATTCTTATAAAGTTTCTTCTGGTTAAGAATCACAAAGAGGATGTTCAGTAACAGACAAGATAACTTTAGCCAACTGCTTGCTAGAATTGAAGTGCCTATTGACAATTATGTCAGTTAGTTGCGTTAAAGGCACGCACTAACCCTACTTACAGCCTTCAGTGTTCTACGTAATATGACATAGTCCTTTTTTTAAGAAGCTCGGGGAAGAATAATGGTGAACAGAATACATAAATTAACAAATTGTAAGAGAAGAGGTTAAATTATGCCAACAGAAAGTCTTAACTTCTTCATGTAATAAGTCAAACGAAAAAATTTTTTTTAGCAATCAACGGGATATGCAACGTCGAGCAGAAATTCAAAGAGAAACTGATGCCAAGATGAAAGGATATTCGTAAACTCCCTACCACAGTTCCGTCAATTTTACAGTCCACGCAAGTCTTGTTCACACCTGAAACTAAAATCAACAATATGACATTTAGATGGATTTAGTTTGAAACCATTTAGGTGAGACCATTTGTTAACTTCAGATAAGAATCTATTCATGTATAAGAACATTCTGATTCAAAAATTACTGGGATAGAAATGGTCAGATCGTCAGCATATTTAATGAAGTTAGCTTTGGGAGAATATGGAAAGTTATACAAAAAGAAAGAAAAAAAATAGATGGAGAGAGTACAACACCTTGAGGTACACCAGTTTCCGTTGGCAACGAAGTGGAGAGCTTTCCATTCAAAACAGTATGTTGAAATAATAGAGAAGATTTGTAGCTCAGGTGGATGATTTGCATTTAACAGTGCTCTCTAAGCTGGTTGGTTTAGTTGCGCAGCTTTCGTCAAAGACCACAAGAAAATTCATCCTACCATACACGAAAAATATCTCTGAAATAACAGCTAGACTACTGAAACCGTTTGATATAGATATAGCGCACAAGCCATTCAAATCGCTTTATTCCATATTATGCAAACCGACAGATCCAACAGGAAAAGAAGATAAAATTAATACCATTTACAAAATAAATTGTATGAACTGTAACAGCCATTACATCGCCCAGAGTGGGCGTCCCCTTCGAATGAGAATCCAGGAACACAAATCAGCAGTGAAAAGACATGCTATAAATCCTTTAGTATCAATGCATACAGACAATTATGGACATCAATTTGATTGGGATAATGTCAAAATCTTAGACAGAGGAAACACCAAAAGTGCTAGGGAATTCCTGGAAGCCTGGTATTCAAACGAATGTGCAATTAACAAACACGTTAATATAGACGAAATATACCAACTAATAAAAAGTAAATCATATGTCGAGGAAGCTTAAAGTCCAAGTCAATAGAAAATGGTCAATACATATGTAAAGATGGTTACCGGGAGACACAAGTATATCACTCATGAAAAATTTAAATCATTTGACTTCATGCTAAATATTGCACTGAAGATGTTGTCCGGAAGGACGACGAAAGCTCCGCAACTAAACCAACCAGCTCAGCGAATACTAATAATTCCAAAACAGTATGTTGCTTTCTACCCGAAAAGTAAGACGATAGCAGCCTTAATTACAGTTAATTTAATTCTTAATCATAATGATAAGAACTATATAAACTAATTCAACACAACATGTTGAAAATTACCATGTTTTACAGAAGTTTTTATATGCATAGCTCGCCTGTTCCCATTTCCGTCCGTATCCTCTTCAACTGATACCCATGTTCCACCGATAGGTTTTTGTGACGGCGGTGTATTTGGATCTAGTTCAGACCATCCATCATTATCTGTGTAATAATAAAGTTTTGTTGGTGATGGAGTCCTTGAATTTGGATTAGAAACTTGTTTATCAGACATTTCAGAAGAGAGCAGTTAAAATCTAACGATAATATTAGATAATTAATTGTTTTGTTTCATAAAACTACATATGACCTTATTGATCAACCGTTAAGATAAATTTTTAAAAATCTAATCAATAAATAATAAAATACTACTAAGTGTATTCTGATATGAGATTGTATATAATCCCAAATAACATGGCGTAGAATTATTATATTATTTCGATAAAGAAAGGAAGACGAAATTTGCAGTATAAAATGATTTCATCATTCTATTTCACAGGTTCTCATCAGCTGCAGACTACCTGAAATTACAATGGTTATATAGATGATAATAACATACTTTAATGTTCCAGTGGTGGTAGAAAAGAGATACTATAAAATTGACGCATCTAAATGAAAGCATTACAATGTTTTTAGTTTAAGTTTTCATCATCAATTTATACGCTTTTAAAGTTGAAAAGAGGGGCTCCGAGTGGAACATAGGGATTCAACAACACCTCTCCACTTTCTTCTATTTTCTGCCAACCTCTTCAACCTGGCCCACGATTGTATATAATCTTTTATCTCTTCCTCACACGATCTCCATGTAACCCTCGCACCGACGACCCACTCGTTGCTTCCCATTTGGATTCCACTCGAGCTATAGCCTGGTTGGTCCGTAATGTCGTTCGACGGTTCCCTCAATGTATGCCCGATCCATCTCCATTTGCTCCTACATATTTGTTGAGTGATCGGCTTTCACCTGTTGGTTTGTTCCCAGTCAGAGTTTATTCGTGCTAATTTTTTCTGACCTGCCTGTTGGCCATTTGATCTTCAGTATACAGCCAGCCAGCCAGCGAATAGTGGTAGCTGTTGATAAAAGTTTTCAACCTGTTGGGAATCCTTCTTGTCACATACTGGTCAAGTTTCCAGGCCGTATAGAAAAACTGACCGATTTGACATTGGTGTTGAAAATCCTAATGTTTTTCTTCATTCTAGCTGAGTGCATAAGATTTCCAAATTGGTTCCAGGATGATGAAGGCATATCTGGCCCAGTCTTCCGATTGTGGCTGGCATTTGGTGGAAACTGTGCTTCCGTTGATGGTGACTGCTGCTGGTTGTTGTTGTTGCTGTTCGCTGGTTATCTTCACTTCCGTCTCCTCTATGTATACCTGAAGTCCAGTCTTCGCTGCTCACCTCTCCTGCCAGTTTGTTGGTTTTCGCCTGCAATTCTTCAAGTTTGCTTGACATTAGTGCGTCGGTGGCACGGTGGTTAGGACTATCGCCGACCATGCACATGGTCCGAGGTTCGAGCCCTCGCCGACGCACACCTGATATCTATGGTCGGCCTGCAAAATTTCGGCTACCGATATCCATGCTGAAAGTTCCATACTTGTACCAAAAATACAGTGTGGAATCAAGCTGTAATCAAAAAATATATATATAGACATTATCATCCACGCGCGAAATCCAGATCTTCTAGAATCTTCTTATCGGTGGTCCAGTGTATTTCTGTCTTCTCACTCCCCACGCACAGTCTGCCGCATAATCCAGTCTACCACAATTAAGAATATCATCCGTGGTGATAATAGGCAGCCACCTCATCTTACTCCTGTATGCACTTCGAGAGCCTCTCTGAGTTTTCCGTTGTGGATCACCTGACTGACACGTGGCACTGTCATATAAATAGCTGTTGAATGAGGTAGTGCACAGATTTATTTGGTCACTCTTCAAAATAACACACAAAATTAACATTATAGAAAATCATGTATGAAAGAGAATAATGTAATGAAGACAAAAGAACTATCATAGGCGGCTATTAAAAACACGAAGTACTTCCGGATCATTCATCATGATTTCCAGGCTACCTGGATAAACTATACGCTTCTTAAAGAGCTTATATATGTAAATACATAGATTGACAATAAGCTTGATGTGACCACCTCGAACTCTTTTACATCACGATTCCTAGTATGTAACAAAAAAAGGACGAATTGAAATGCTGGACAGTATTACCTGTGACCATTATAGATGACCGGATATCTTGTCAGAGTTCATGCGTGAACTTCAAACCAGTCATTTCTATTTCTGCAAAGGCTTCATCAATAATCAGTCTTTTAAGGCCAACTAAATCATCAGATAACATAGATTCATGAATAAAAAGATGTTCGGGATAGACTTAGATTTTCCAGAAGGAGTGGCGAACTTCCTCTGACCTCCTCCTGAATAGGTGACTCATATCATAATGATGTAACTATCGATCACCAAATTAGACATGCAACTGTTCTTTGCCTATAAAAAGCTCATCTCTAGTACGAATTCATAAGCTGCTACTCTGGCACTACATGCTTTGATCACCTTTGTTAAATACAGTATTCACGCCTTACGGACACATTCAAGTGAAGTGCTTTGAATAACTTCCCAATATGTCAAAATGACATTTCATGAGCCTCTTATCAAGGAGCACTGTATAACTGGTTAATGGCGTGGCTATTGTTGTTATCGTATTAAAAGCTAGAATAAGTGTTGTATCACATGAATGGATTCCTATTAACAGACATTTATGAGTTGTTAGAAACGTGTTGTCTGTCCGATATCTGTGCCCACATATACCGTTGCACTACAGTTCTGACGTAACTGTAGATGAGGTCTATGGTTGACTTAGTGGTCTCCTCAACCAAGTGCGTCCTACAAGAACCATAGTGCTATTTGGGGGTTTAAGTACAAAAGAACAAAGAGGAGAGGGATTACGTGGTAGCAAGTTGGACAATGTGGACCTTTTTCTTCAGTCCTGAGTAGGCAACGTCATTTGGTACACTGCCATACTGCCTTTGTTTGCTCATGCACCATCTTTAATCAGATAAGCTTACATCTTGGACCAACAGCATCACTCCTGAAGTGTATGTATATATATATTTGTTTTCCTGATGTGAATGACAAACTCTTTGCTGGTTTACGTTACATGGGTACATCTGAATTAGGTTACAGTGCACATTTAGTTTTTCATCATCCTATTTCCTGAACTCAAAATTTCCGGGGGTCACAAAAGTGTCATCCAGTCAAAATTTAGTGGCCCACGTGCTTAAAATTTTATTTGATGTTCACGAGTGGAAAATACTGGTGACTTAAGTGGCAGTTAAACATTTTCATTATGCCTTTGTAGCTTGTACTACTAGCAAGATTTATAAGTAGTATATATGTAAATGTAAATAAGTATATTAGCTGCGGTAGTATCGAATAGTCGGATTTACTGAACAACACTTATGAAAAAACATGAAAAATACGAAGGGAAGGCAAGTAAGCACCATAGAGAATGCAAAGTTGCACAATACGGAAGATATTTGCAAATGGTGCTTCTAATATCTTTTATGTAGTGTTCACTGAGCTGGCTGGATGGTTTATTTGCCGAGCTTTCATAACCCTACTAGGCAACATCTTCAGCGAATACTTCAATTTGAATTTAAGTGAGCTTTTAGATTTCTCCACGAGTTTATTAGTCATCTCTCCTGGTGACCTTGAACGTCATGATTGATTGTTTTCGTGTGTTTCCACACGCTTTATAGAAAATCAACTCACACGGACCAAATACTCAATTGAAACAGCAACAATCCAATAACATACAAAGGCGTTGTATACAAGCATAATTCAACAGAGCCAGTCGGAAGTCATTGCATCACTCCCACCTTAAGGAAAATTGAGGAAAGATATCTCATGAACGTCTTCAAAAAGAATGGATATCCACGGAACTTCGTCAAAAGACATTTACACCCCCCCCCAGTCACCCTACCAAATCAAAGGCCCCCAAGAAAAGCACGAAGAAAATCCCCCTATCATATATAAAGGATGCCTCAGAAATCACTGCAAGACTCTTTAAACCTCTAGGAACTGATGTCGTTGACAAACCAACAAAATCGACCCACTCCGCTCTCTGTTAAACAGAAGACCCAAAAGCAAAAGAAGATAAAACCAACATCATCTACAAAATAAGTTGCAACGACTGCGAAAAACACCACATTAATTTGATGGTATTAGATGATTGGAGGCAATCGGCAGGAAGCCTTGGACCTGGGTTTCATGCTAGTCGGCACTCATCAGCAAGGCGTATTTGCTAGAATGTTGGTCACATTACAGCCTGATTGATTGAATTCAGTCTACACCAATCAAAGGACTAGACGCATCACACTAGTTACTAGTGTCAAATCAAAACACCACATTAGCCAAAGTGGATGTCCCCTTCGTGTCTTCGTATCCATGACCATCAACTAGCCGTCAAAAGACATGACATCCACTCCCTCCTATCGCTGCATACAGACAATCACGGACATAATTTCGATTGGGACAACATCCTAATATTAGACAGAGGAAGCACCAAGAATGCTAGAGAATTTTTAGAAGCCTGGTATTCCAAAGAATCGCCAGTCAATAGACACATCGACATAAACAAAATTTACCAATCGATAAAAAAGAAGACCTCGCACACATGGGGTCAAAGTTTAAGTCAACGAAATAATCAGTTCCAATACAAGTAACCTAGAGGGCGTGAAAACACATAAAAACAACCAGTCATAACATTCAAGGTCATCAAGAGAGATGACTGATAAACTCGTGGAGAAATCCAAAATCTTACTTCGAACTGAAGTATGCGCTGAAGATGCTGCCTAGTAAGGGGGGCAATGAAAGCCTCGCAAATAAACCATCCAGCTCAGAGAACACAACTACATCAAAATCATCCACTTGAGCTACAAGTCTTCTCCATCATATTCGAACATCTGCTAAACTTATTTTGCCTGTATATCGAATAGCCAATATATAATTCCGTTAGCAAATACTTTTATCTTCTGCCATCCACACCATGAAATCAATGTTATTAACTCAACTACATAGATCTGAAATACTTGAAGTATGCGTGGCCCGGATTAACAACGACCGCGCTTCCTGCTGCCGTGTCACAGGGCGGGAGTGATAAGTATGCTACTGAGGCACACAAAACAACGAAGAACGAACAAAAACAGGCCGCGTGTGACCGGCCACAAGCAGTTGTCCCCTGGGCTCTGCGGTCACGCAACCAAC